CCAAGAGTTCACAGGTGTTGGTGTTAAGAGTTCACAGTTGTTGGTAAGGAGTAGTCCAAGAGTTCACAGGTGTTGGTGTTAAGAGTTCACAGTTGTTGGTGTTGATTAGCTGCATTCTCAGATAACATTGAATAACTTTACATGAAATTCAACAAACAAACATCTGTATGGTGAAAACATGCTTATGCTAGATTTAACCCTATCCTGTCTGGTGACCCCGTGTCAGGTGTCAATTTCTCAGTTAGAAAGTAAGAAAATGATCTCCAACTATTAGCTATTTAAAAAAAATACATAGTGTTTATGTGAAAATATTAATGAAATAAGTTAGAAAACTCATACAACTAACAAAACTTCCAACAGGGAAGAATGGAGGTTACACCTGCGGCTTATTCACATCTCCTTCATTCACTGATGGGACTAGCTGGTGGTAAGGTGTGCGTCGTTCTAGAGGTGGGTTCTTTTTTTATTGTGTTAAGACTAATTTGTTTCCCATTGTATAGAATTTCATGAGAATATTTAAAGTGTTGGCCTTTATATTTGATGTAATAGTAATTCGTGGTTAACTTTAAAAACATTATGATAATCAAAGAAATTGTAGCTTTTGATCCAAGACATTTATAGTGAAAGAATGAGCATGTTTATAAAAATTATAAAGTGTTTGTAACATTGGGAACACGTACCTATAGCAAATTTGATGAAGAGGAACCCACTTCATAGGAAATAAAAGTTTGGAGACGACTTGACTTTACAGAGACACGTGACTATATATATACTGTATGGAACAAAGAAGTCACATGACCAGAGATTACTTCACAGCCTAGTGTAGGTATCTTGATACTCTGGGTTGTTGGTTTAAGGTGGGGGCTATCTTGTTCAATTAAGATGGCTTTCTGTATTCTGTGTTTATTGATGTTTGGTTCTTTGTTTAAAATTATCGTGTTTGTATAGCAATCTCCAGTCATGTGACGTCTTTGTTCCATACTGTGTATTCATACGTCTCTGTAAAGTACTTGTACCTGAGGATGACAAAATCTTGTCGAAACGTTGTACGTTTATAATAAAGTTTTCTTCATTACCCAGTCGAGCCATCTCCAAACTTTTATTTAATACCTATAGTAAGTAATATCTATGTTTGTTATCTAGGGAGGGTACTGTATACCGTCCTTAGCAGAAGGTGTGGCTTTGTCACTTCGTACATTGCTGGGAGACCCATGTCCTGACATTGGGCCTGTGGCTCAGCCAAGTGAAAGGTGATGCTTTTATTTGTTTGTAGAAAAAATATTTGTTAAACTTTTTTTTAATGTTGTATAATAAATAATAAATTGTATTTAACATTAGGACTTAGTATTATATTTCGTTCAATTCGGCAATGTTATTTCTACATTGTTGCACTTGCTATGTTGTTTAAAGAGAATAGAATTAATGTTATTTCTACATTGTTGCACTTGCTATGTTGTTTAAAGAGAACAGAATTAATGTTATTTCTACATTGTTGCACTTGCTATGTTGTTTAAACAGAATAGAATTAATGTTATTTCTACATTGTTGCACTTGCTATGTTGTTTAAAGAGAATAGAATTAATGTTATTTCCACATTGTTGCACTTGCTATGTTGTTTAAAGAGAATAGAATTAATGTTATTTCTACATTGTTGCACTTGCTATGTTGTTTAAAGAGAATAGAATTAATGTTATTTCCACATTGTTGCACTTGCTATGTTGTTTAAAGAGAACAGAATTAATGTTATTTCTACATTGTTGCACTTGCTATGTTGTTCAAAGAGAACAGAATTAATGTTATTTCTACATTGTTGCACTTGCTATGTTGTTTAAAGAGAACAGAATTAATGTTATTTCCACATTGTTGAACTTGCTATGTTATTTAAAGAGAATAAAATTGACTTTTTGCTATATAATTGAATCTGTAATGACTTTAGTACATCACAGTTTGTTTATACTTGTTAAATGGTTTTTGCTGTACTCTGTTGTATCCACTGCATTGTTTTTAGTTCAGTAATTAATTATTTTCTTCAAATGGAGCTCTCAAACCCATCAGTGGTAAGTCTGAAAGCTTATAACACTAAAAACTGGGTTTAGATACCAGATAGCTCATTATGTAGTTTTGTGCTTAACTACAAATGGACAAAACCACTCGTGAAACTCGCGAACTAGAGATAGCATGTATTAAAAGTGGTGAAATATTAGTACAATAAGTAGCATGTTTTACAATGCCCACAGTGTGGTTGAGACAATCCTGAATGTTATCGCATCTCTTCGTCCATTTTGGCACAGTCTGCAGTTACAGGGAAGCTACCACGAAAAGATAGAAGAAACAAAATCTACCGAAAGAATCAGGTGATGTGAAAATATCTTTAGTGGCAGATTAGGACAGTATTTAAAGCTTTGTATGAGAATTGGGTATGTTCAGTTCATTCTACAAGCCTCTATATGATATAAAACTTAGATTTGTGAAATAAATAAAATGATGAAAACAGTTTATATTTCATACATTGATTAAGGTAAGCATTATGAATGGAAGTGTAGAACAGTTGTAAGTTGTGGACAAACGACTATAATCTCTCAGTCAAATTAAGTAATTTAGACTTCACCGTTTTGTTCAATATTAATAACTGTTTGGACAAATGAGTATAATCACTCAGTAAAATTAAGTAATTTAGACTTCACCATTTTGTTAGATATTAATAACTGTTTGGACAAACGATTATAATCACTCAGTAAAATTAAGTAATTTAGACTTCACTGTTTTGTTAGATATTAATAACTCTGTTTGGACAAACGACTATAATCTCTCAGTAAAATTAAGTAATTTAGACTTCACCGTTTTGTTAGATATTAATAACACTGTTTGGACAAATGACTATAATCTCTCAGTAAAATTAAGTAATTTAGACTTCACCGTTTTGTTAGATATTAATAACTCTGTTTGGACAAACGACTATAATCTCAGTAAAATCAAGTAATTTAGACTTCACTGTTTTGTTAGATATTAATAACTCTGTTTGGACAAACGACTATAATCACTCAGTAAAATTAAGTAATTTAGACTTCACCATTTTGTTAGATATCAATAACTTTGGACAAATGACTATAATCTGTCAGTAAAATTAAGTAATTTAGACTTCACCATTTTGTTAGATATCAATAACTTTGGACAAATGACTATAATCTGTCAGTAAAATTAAGTAATTTAGACTTCACTGTTTTGTTAGATATTAATAACTGTTTGGACAAACGACTATAATCTGTCAGTAAAATTAAGTAATTTAGGCTTCACCGTTTTGTTAGATATTAATAACTTTGGACAAACATGTATAATCACTCAGTAAAATTAAGTAATTTAGACTTCACCGTTTTGTTAGATATTAATAACTCTGTTTGGACAAATGACTATAATCTCTCAGTAAAATTAAGTAATTTAGACTTCACCGTTTTGTTAGATATTAATAACTGTTTGGACAAATGACTATAATCTGTCAGTAAAATTAAGTAATTTGGACTTCACCGTTTTGTTAGATATTAATAACTCTGTTTGGACAAACGTGACTATTAATCACTCAGTAAAATTA